ATATAGGGGGGGGGGGGGGGGGGGGGGGGGGAGACACTGGTCAAGAGTTTTGCACGTGGAGGCTAGGTGTTTAAGTGCACGGGGATGGTACTGGCAACTGCTGTCGTAGCATGCAAGTGGATGTCACTCAGGTGGCCTGCTGTGCGAAAAATGATGTTCATAGAATACCGACTACAACACGCGAGCTCTGCGGCGCGTCTTCCCTCAAACAAGGCATCGTCTTGAGTATAAAATGCACTCCTTATTTAGTATCACGCGCGGTGTAGCTGCCAGGCCAACAAACGAGAAATTACCGCGGAATTCCATCAACCTAAACAAAATCACGAGTCAACACATCAGGCAAAATAGAAGCACGAGAAAACACCTTAATGGAAATCGCAAAACAAAAAACACACATGTTCACACAAGTACTGTTCGCTGCAGAAAGATGCTTTGGCGTGCAAATAGACAGCGCACCGATCCGAAGTACTGAACCGCACCGAGGTGCATTGCACCAGCAAGGTCGCTGTTGTTATTTTTCAATATCACACACCTCGGAGTTGTCGCACGGGGGGTGCGATCGAAAAGCAAGAGCGAAAAAGCATTCAGTTCCGTCTCTGCGCGCCGGCCTCTGAGCGATGTGTGAAACAGGCTGGAGGCGTCAATGGCGGGAGGATTATTTGATTATTTGAATGGGTAGTCTTTCTGTGTGTGTAATTATTATTCCTTAATTAATTCTCTGGGTACCGAGCCCTCTGTTAGATTCCTCCCCTTCGACATTTTTGAGACCGTTGAAAATGGTGTGAAACACGATTCCACGCGGTGGCATTACCATTTGTCTCACGCTAATTCTGAAAGAGGGATTCCGTTCACATCATGTGTGCATGATATGCATACTTCCATACACGTAGAATCACGAGGTCAACTCCGTATCATAACGTATTGACACTAGATATCGACGGATTTTCACAGCTCAATTTCTCCACAGCAGAAAGAGTGGCTGTGCCGAAACGGCGGCGTTAAAACCGCCACGTCGAGAGCTTCCGAAAAATTGTCATTTGATTGTGGCATCCTCTTCGTCGTTGAGAAATCGAGCTTTGGCCCAGGGGGTTGTGGTATCTTGAGCCACCGAGCCACCTGTACGGCAAGCATCGGGGTATTTATTTCGCGGTAAATTTCTGTGGAAAACGCGCTGCTTTACATGGTACTTGCCAAACAAGCGACAAAAACTCCACAACAACCAGCAGTAAATAACAACGAAATTGTTCTGCGATAGATAGCGCACGAGAACAACAGCCGTTTAGCATCGCCAACGGCCTTCCATTCTGAGAGTGACCGTGTCCTCTCACTCCACAACTGCTGTTCGAGGAAGCGTATGTATTTAGTACAGAGAGGTACGGCCCTTGCTTGCTCTTGGACGGAAACGCCCGAACATAAAAAAGAACAACACACGGAGAGGACACCAACCGGTGTTCCCCTGGTTTCCGAAAGTAACCACAGGTCCAGCATAAAAGTTTATCGCTTGCGTTATCTATCTATAAGCACATTCTTGGGCGGGGGAGTTATGACCAAGCGAAGGTATGCGCTTCCACAGCGCAACGCTATTTTCTACCGGTATTTTCGAATCAAGGCTTTCCAGACTCACCTGTGGCCTCCGAGCTTCTTTACTTTTCATCGACCGTCTGCACATTTGTCCAAACACCCCTCCTCCCCCGTGTCTCATAAGTGCTTGACTTCTACTCCGTTATGATCAAGACTTATGACATCACCGGTGAGAGGGTGGAAGTGAGCTGGAGAACCCTTGTACATGCGTCAATAGGGTGCATCATCGGTTCGCCCGCATGGCCTGAAAACGGCAACAGAAATGATTCTACTTTGACAGAGACCATCGGTAAATGAAGAAAAGTCCAGAGCAGACAAGGGCATTCGGCGAACGACACACAACGCCATGGTGTTGTAACGCCAGAGTCTGTGCTTTTCCTATCAATAACTAGATCAATCCTCTCGCTTGTTCATTAGGAAAACAAATACAAACACGCATGATCGGTCACGCGGATCTCCTGTGGGGAGAGCGGCTGAAAACCCACTTCCGGCCATGGTTGTCTTCTCTTGTGTGCCCTTAGGGGCGTTTGCGCTGACGGACTGCGCTAAAGACGACAGCAGTATCGTTCTGGCCGTGTCTATGTGTGTGTGTACGTATAGGTATGGTGCTGCCCACAAACTTGTTACTCTCTCCATCTCGAGGAGCCAACGGCGGCGACGGCCGGCGCACGGGGCGCGAGACTGTCGGGAAATGAGCCGGCACGCCGGCACCAGGCCGGCACACAGCACACAGCGGTGGGGCGCATTGAAAATAACCATCGCCTCTCTCACCTCTCTTTTGTCCTGGTAATCCCTTTTTTCGGAGAGATGGGCCAGGGCAGCACGAAAGAAGTGACGATGTGCCCTTCCCTCCTTCACCCCTCCGGTGCCTCTGCTCTCTCCCTGCCCCCTCCCTCCTTCTTCCGGGTGAGTTCTTCGAATTTCTGGAAAATGCAAATAACTTTACCACTTTTTTAACTTTAAATGCGGGGGCTCAGCGGATGCAACGACGTCTAGTTTCTGAGCCCGGAAGATGACAAGCAGAAGATTGCAGAGACAGAGGCGTTGAAATCTGAGTTTTATGAGGAGCGGAAGATGAAATATCTGTTGGCCAATCAGAGAGCAGCAGCATTGAGTCAGCGTGAAAGTGTTTGAAACCTGACTAGAAGGGTAGACTTGGGGGCACTTGTTGGTCTGCCCCAAGGAAGCACGAGGGAGGCTGCTGCAGCCAAGAGGTATTTCGGAGGAGATCTATTTCTTTCCCACCCACCCACCCTTTTTTTTGTTTTTTTTTGTTAATATGACACCACGAAACCATCTCCACCCTTTTTTATATTCAATTTTAATTTTCTGTAGGATCCACCAGCCCACCACCTACCACCGACCACCACGTGGACCCAGTCCAGCAGGATCCAACTCAGAATGAATGATATTTGCAGAGCCGGCAGCAGCAATGAGCATGCCTTGTTGAGCGTTCACAAGAGCAGATGCACAACACTGCTAATAGTCTATGTATGATGGTACAGTATTTCGCAGCACGTTCCTGCCGCTCCACAGAAAGCGGTGTCCAAAATGTATCCTGCCCATGGTTGATGCCGTTTCGAGGCGCTGGCGGTTATTTTCCGTCAAAATACTGACGACTAGTCTAGCCAACGGACTGCTGTCTTCCAACAAGGTCGTGCGATTGTCGTGACATATTTGCGAAACATGCATACATCAGCTTTCAAAATATTGCAGAGAGTACTTGCGTACTTGCCCAGGACCAGTGTGGCGGGAGTACTAGCGCCGGCGATTGTTTGTAGACTAGGCCTGTCCTACGTTGTTGTAGAACGGGTCTCTGTCGAAATGACCCTTTTCGTCGTGTGCCCGGCACGCCGCGGGGTCATCGAAGCAGGCTTCTTCTTGTCGGCACTGCTATGTCCATTGGCGGCCGCAGCCGGAACCTTCCAATCAAATGTGAATGCGTCGAGCTCCCCTCGAATCTACAACGCTAGCGAGATGAACGAAGATTGGCTGGGATACTCGTGCGCCTCCATCGGCGGTAAGGGAACATATGGAGGAGTCAGTGTGTATCATAACGAAACATGCACCAACGTACAGCAGTAGTAGTACCACGGCTGGGTAGTCGAATTTCTTGTCAACAGCTACAGGTGGAAAGCACTGCATATGCATTGGCGGAGCATTTTGCCGGGAGAAAGGCTCTTTTTGCTGTGTGCTCCGTTCCTGCTGTCCAAACGAACCCTCCACAGAGAGTCTTGTTGTGTGTTCTGTATTAAATAGTTGACGTCTACAGTCGACAGTCGACACCTTCCATCCAATAAACGCCAATAGAACAGCGTACATTGATCCGTTTCGTGCAGGTGAACACTCCCAGGGTACATGTTCGCTTAGCCCAGTAGGATGGTCTGCTTCGCGCGTGGTCGCATACAATGACCGCCCGCGCTTAATAACAAAGGTTCAGATATTGGCGATAACGAAAGAGAAATAGAGTAAGAAACGCACCTCAGCGGTGGGTCCTACACTACACTACTCCGTATATACAATGATATGCTCGACGGTGGTGGCGGAATAAGAACTTGAGCCTCGACCATGAATTGACGTTGCTTAAACGCGGGTGTTTCCTGTACTACTGTACGCAGACGTACCCATGCTTCACATTCCCTGGACAGGGTTTTGTTGTGCGAGTTGTGCAATCGATCGCCGGCGGGGGATTAGTCGCACTCTGACGCTGCAGCATTCTTCCCGGTACAGAGTTTCCCAATCGTTGCTCGCTATGTCGATTCTGAATGCGTTTGGGGATGCCCACGTCACAAAGCCATGGGCAAATTGTAGGCATGCTATGACGTTCTCCAACATGACGCACTCCTACAGATTTCAACGGCGACGGCGTGGGAGACATTGTTATTGGAGCGCCAGGCGCTAGCGATGGTGTCGGCCGGGCGTACGTAGTGTACGGGAACTCTTCGGGAATCGACGAGGATTTTGACGTGTCAGCTCTGGAAGATCGCGACAGCGCCGGTCTTGTCATGACAGGCAGGGAGGGAGGAACGTTTTCGCACAGCATTGGGTACGCCGTGGCTGCAGCAGGGTACGCAAGGGACACGCGGGAAGATCTCAGAACGAACGCCAAACGGTCGTATGAGGCAACACACAAACGTATTGTTGGACGAAACCTTATGATTCAACGAGACACACACGTCTTCCTTCTTTGACTCCCCACACAAGTAGACACTCTTCACGCCACTTGTTTGGGTGCCGCGCAATCATGACCAAGCGTATGACCAAACGTGGAAATGTAGACATGCCTGCTAATAGTATGGAAACCTCGGCCTGGTGATACCCTATGTGCCGCAACAAGTCACTCCTTCTGATTCGCCATACCCTCTACAGAGACGTCAACGGAGATTCCCTGATGGATGTCATGGTGGGCTCCTACGGAAGCTCTCACTTGAGCGAAGGCGCGGCCCACGTCGTGTACGGCACTAATACATCCGCAGCGTACGACGCTTCTTTCCTCGATCTCGGCGCCGGGGGTGGTGGAGGGCTCGACGGGGTCGACGGCTTCACTCTCTCGGGGATGTCGATAGAAATAGAGCTCTACGCGAAGCTGGTGAGATGGACCTCTGATGTGGGTCGCTGGTCCTCAGTCGGCCGTGTACGCGAGAGGCATCATCTGTACTGCGGTGATATGGAGAACGGACATTCTTGATTGGAAAAGACGATGAAATGTTCCTCTAGCCCATAAACTGTCACTTTCTTCAACGGCTCTTGCGATGCCATGCTCTCGTCCCGCCCCCCGGCCCACAGCGTATGTCGTACAACCAACTCTGTGACATGCTTGAGAGCCAAGGTTTAATACAGCACACACGCCATGCTGTCGGGGTTGTCGGCCAAAGCTACGTTTTTGAGAGCGCGCCGTGGGGAAGCAAAAATCTCTCTGCGTGAAAAGAACACCCCGCGGCGTTGTCGAAGGCAGGGGGGGAAAGAACAAAACCAACCCCCCCCGCCTGATACCCCTGGGGCCTTTCTGATCACCGATGGCTTCTCTTGGGGAAAGAGGGGCATTGGCATGGCGGGAGGCGTTCTTAAACCAAACGGTAGGCCAATCATATCCCGACACGAACAACCCACACGACACCGTGTTTGCCGTGACTTCCGCACCCACCCACCCACCTACCCCCGACAACACAGATCTCCGACACGCTTGACAGGCAACTATCGTTGCAGTACACCGGGAACCCGCTGTCCTCGGCGGGAGACGTCAACGGGGATGGTTATGGCGACATTCTTGTCGGTAGCCCGACGGCCGGAGCGGTGTATCAGGGGCACACCTACCTGGTGTTTGGTGGTGCCGGTCTGCCGAGTAGAGTGAACCTGACGGAATCGGACGACGTGACCGGAGGGAACGAGGGCGTGGTGGTGTTTAAGGGGGCTTTGACAGGCGAGTTTGTGATTATTGGCGGGTTTCATGATCTTTGCTCGATTGGTTCTTCCGAGAAAGAGACCTTTGAGATGGCAGCTGTGCAATGGTCTTGCCGTTTGAAGCCGTGGAATTTCGCCAACTTCTCATAAATGGCCGACTTCCATGTCACGGCAGAATACGTATTTGGAGTGTTTTAAGGCACGGACAAACCTAAACTCGCCAACCAACCGATAGATTTGAGGCGTGCGGAAATACAATACGTTTACGTCTGCACTAAAGGGTCGCAGCCCCACATTGTGTGGCGTCATACAGACGTCTCTTTTTCCACTTACTATGTCGCACAGGGAGGACCCCCATCCAAGAAGACGGAGATAAACATAGAGGGATGTTGCTGTGGGGATTATGGTTCTCGTCTCATACGCCTATTATAGCCGCAGTCAGAATTACAGCTTGTCCTCTGAGTGTCCATGCGAACGATGTCTTTCCGCCCCCCCGCCCCCCCTCCTCTCCTATGTTCGTCGAAATATGCATCCGCCGCCGCCGGCGCAGACGAATCCGGGTTCTCTGTGTCCGGGGGGTTCGACATGAACGGCGATGGATTGAGTGATTTCATCATCGGAGCACCGGAAGGGGGAACCACCGGGGAGTTCGACGGGGAGGCGTATGTCATATTCGGGCAGGTGTGGGGAAAAATAATGTTTCGGCCTCCCGGCAGACGTGTAGCACGTGTTGGGTAGGAGATCGATCTACAGGTTTCACGTCTGGGCCCAAGAGCACAAGAAGTTTTTAATCATTGTTGGAGGGCTTGTACAAACCCGTTTCAGGGTGGCTGGCTGGTAGTCGTTCCTGTACGAAACGCCCCAGATACAGTTTGAGTACTCGTAGGAAGCATGTGCGCGGCAGGAGATCTCTCAAGGTGACCAACTTCGCCGAAACCCGGCGAAGTACGCACATAATCATTGTTGCGCCAACGGTAACACCCACAGTGGCCCATATCTAGAGGGAGATGTCCGGTGTATTGGACGACGCACTTTATAGCGATAACGACGCCAGTGTTCACGTGCTGAGCCACACACAACGCCGTGACAAATGGATGTTCTATGTTTCGATCGATAGGAAAACCTGGCCGATTCTGACACGGTGATGCTTGACACCGATCTGGATGGGACAGTCGGTTTCAGTATTCTTGGGCCTTCGGATGACGCTTACGCCGGCAGCTCCGTTGCGGGAATCGGGGTGAGGCTGTTTCGCTAGTATAGTAGATTTAGTCGATGTATGCCGTCCTTACTTTGTTTGAAAGGAGATCGATTGCAAACTGGACAAAGCACGCATTGACCAACGGCTGGAAGGCGCGCAAGTAGACCTGGTATAATATAGCAATATGTCCTTGCGGTCGAAACGTACGGATACTCAGCAGCAAAGAACAACAACAACTCACTAAAATTCGTCCACACGCGACGTTCCCGTCTCCCGTTGGTTTTACGTCGAAAGTGTACCGTATCCCTTCGTGAAAACACGAAAACACTCGACGCGAGAATCGCCGTAAGACAGCAAGAGCGACGGCTGCGACAAGCACCTACTCTGTATGCAACGTTCGTTCGATGTCTGTGGTATTTCCACACCCTTTCTTCTTGGCGACGTCATGCAAGAAGAAAAACAGGCCATCACGTCGATCCCCCTGCGACTTCCCCCGCCCGTCGTTCCTATGGCCCATTTTTATTTCCATTGACCGCACGCGTTGCATGAACAAACCCTCCACGATTCACCGTAGGACGTTAACAGCGACGGCTACGATGATGTCATCGTTGGAGCTTTCGGAGACGTACCTGACAGGAGGTAAGCCCGCTTGTGAACCTGTGTGAGGTGCCTGAGGGAAGCCGGTGTTCTTTTTGAAGCCTTAAATTGCAGGGCTTCATAACGTGAGCGATACATAGAATACACAACGTCGCGACAGGCCAGGTCGTGCATAGTACCTGGTTGGGGTACCAGAAAGGAACGCTTGAGATACGTTGCGATGATCTCAGAGGTATAGACACACTCGCTTGGGAAGACGAATATTGCATTGAGAATGTGATGACAGCACACCAGGGTTCATTTCGTCGCCCGGGGACTGGATAACATGCAATACTAGGTTCCGGTCTTTCGAAATAGCCAGCAACCGAATCGGTGTGAGTGTCCCCACCTACTTCCCTTCCCAATTCAACCTCTATCCGCATGGACGAAATGCGATCACGCGGGCGGGCGTGGGGTGCAGATATCGAGCGGGCGCAGCGTACGTGGTGTTCGGCAGGGCCGAGGGCGACTTTGCCGCAGCTTACGATCTCAGAAGCGCCGACATCGTTGATGGACAGACGGCTACCTCGCTGTTGGGGCTGCGAGCGGAAGACGCCACGGGTATCGGTGTGGGCCCGGCGGGGGACCTCAACGGGGACGGAGTACCAGATATTTGGGTGAGCGAGGCCGTAGCGCGGGACTTGACCCGGCGAAAGCAGGCAGTACTCTCAACCATCAGCCGGTGTTACTGGTGTAATGAAAATGAATAGTTTGTTGTTTCAATATCAGATACGTATGCGAGGACCTCTATGGTACTGAATATTGCTCCTCTCGTTACGCTCTCAAGTCGGTCTACCAAAAGCGATGGGGGTGGCCGTTCGAACTTACATCATTCGGGAGTCTAGAGAGTGACTTGTTTGTTTTGCATGATGGAGTATGTCATTACCCCTAACACGGGTAGGAGAAGGATCCACGTCAAGCGGACCTTCGGTTTGTCCTAAATCTCTCTCGAGTCGGGCACTCGCCTGTTCGTCAGCGCTCTGATATCATGGGCCGTACGCTCGATCCGACCGAATCGTGTCTTTACCCAATCTTACACCGTTTGACACGGCAGTACGTCACCTGCATTGTCACCCTTGCGGGATTCGGGCGTAAGGAGAGACAGTTGTTGCGCTGCCTCGAGTGACCCGTGCACACGAGATGGCCATCAAAGGTATATTATATCTTGAAACACACGTATCCCCATATTCCCCGCGCCGTTAACCACTCCTTTATTTCGGACTTACAACAAGAATCAAGTTTGTTTTTGCTTGTGAGACCCCAAAACGCCCAACCAGTTTCTGTCACAACAGCTAGCCGAGAAGAGCATGGTACCAGCACGTTGTGGTGCTCCTAGCTCAGGCCTCAACGCCCTCTACCCCAGGCATCCACCCACAAGACAACATTGGCAGCAACCCGATATTCGGAGGCCGAAAGGCCGGTTCATGACCACATTATTGACTAGCCCCGGCACCCACACCTATGCTCTCAGCCCTTACCCCAGCCGCGCCCCTGCGCTTCGATTTTGTGCTTTGTCTGCTGGTGTGTTGTCTTGACCTCCATTCCAAAGGTCGGGGCTCCTACCTCAGACCCAGGCAGCCTGGAAGAAGCCGGGTCTGCGTACATTGTGTTTGGGTGGAAAGAAGAAGGGGACGTCTCTTCCTGGGGAGAGTCCGTCGACCTTTCCGCACTCGATGGATCGAACGGGTTTGTCATAACAGGCTCCACCTCAGGGGGGCATTTCGGGTGTGTACCTATGTTGTTGTCAGAGGGAGAGGTGTTCGTGGATTTCTGGGTTGTGCATAGGAAT